TGAGCATCAAATAGCGATCAACTCAGTGCTGCATCCTAGGTTCCCTGTCTCGCAGCGTTTATGCGTCTTCAGAGAGTCTCACACTTGCAGCTCCGTGATCACGGCCCCCAAAGTCTTCTCTTGAGTTTCCCGGCCCATGAGGACCATTACCAGTAGGTTGTCTCTGTCAGCCTGTCCTCAACCTCAGCTTTGGCACAAAGGGAATTTCCCTCTTCTTCTCCCACCCCCGTCTGTCCCTCCCTCTGTGCTTCGTCATTTTCTTACCACAAACCTGGGCGTGGTCATTTTCCTGCCCGTCTTGTAACTGAGAAACCGGTGTGCCCACAGACTCCTCCCTGGTGAATAGCTTCAAGCTGCCTGAGTCACCGCCACGGCCAACCAATCCGTGCATCCTCGGCGGTCTGCCCTCACCCCGTGATCCGCTTGGTGGTGTCCGGATTAACCCATCAGCCTCCTAGCAAGTCCCCTGGTTCTCACCCACTCCACTCTCAGCAGTGGGGCTACAGTGAGATTTCTACATATAATCAAAGAATTCAATCCACCATCCTTTCCATGGCTGGTGACATAAAATACCTATTCTGTAACAGTTCATGAGTCCCCATGAGCCAGGAGTTTTGCTTAATTATCCAGCATGATTTTTCCTATTCCCCCACCAGGTTGGAGGATACAGTGATACTGAACTTCTTTTAATTTCTGGAATAGGCCACCATGTTCATCCTTTTCATGTTCTTTGCTTTTCTTAGAAGTGTTGACGGGTTCACCCTTGTCTGCCCTGCCGTGGGACTGAGCAGTCACTTCACTGTCTTTCCTACCTTCCTGGGTCCCAGTGAGATTCCCCCTCTCACACCCGACCTAGCACCTGTATCCATCCCGTCACATCAGTGACCACGTGTTAGAAAATTCTCCGATGTCTGTCCTTATCGCTGTCCAGTCTGGGAGAACTGAGAGCCATGCTGGTTTCTTGTCTGCAGAGGGCTGGCACGGAGCTCTCAGTTATTAACGAGAGTCAGTGAATGTTCTAGTTGTGCAGACGCTTGTCTTGACTCAGCGCATCACTGAACACGTGTGTGAGGAAAGGGTGGGTGAACACGCACCATGAGACCATGGGAGAAAGGGTGGGTGAGCACACACCATGAGACTCCTGGGCCAACGGGAGGCATGTTCAGGTGGAGATCCAGGAGACATCTGGGCTCGTGCAGGTGGGGCTAGACACAGAAATTTTTGATGGACGAGTCAGAGGAACTGCACTCGATGGAGGGGGAGTTCCGTGAAGGGGAACAGTGTTAGCAGTCTAAAGAGGCTGTCGAGGAGTCTGTTCACCTGCTGGTTTTCAGATGGTCCTGAGTCAGATGCATTTACTCATTAAGATGTAGCATGCGAGCCAGTGAGTGGAGGGTATATATAAATTCTGAATTCCCAGAGACCGTTAACATTATAATTTCTCTTTATTAAGTGAAACAATCTCTTTTAGCTTCTGAGCTAGGAATTTGGCTGTCTCTGAACACTCATTTTATTTTTTTACTTTTTAAAGAAGTCACTTGAGATGACCATCAAGGAATTAATTTTGGTGAATTTATCCAAACCAAAATATAATTATCCAAGGAATGAGTAAAGTCCATAGCCAGTGTGAATTTAAGTTTCAGCTTAAATACATTTTCTATCAGCCATGTAGAGCCTCCTTACACACACACACACACACACACACGCACACACTCAGGCGCATGCACACAGAATGTCGGTTACCCTTTGATACTTTCGGTGATTATAAAGTTCATGTAATAATGAAGGTGCATCCTTGTTTGGTCCCACACTTTACTACTCGCATTGAAGTCATTTACTGCCAAGATCTTTCCTGAGGTTAAGACACATGTTCCAGACTACTCTGAAAGTGAAATCAGCGCTGGCCTGCTTAATTTAGTTCTGGAACATGCCTCGCTGATTTTCAGTTGGAAGTGCTTGGGAATTACTGACTTTCAAAAAAAGGAATGGAATTCCCCAAGCGAGAGAAGCTTCTTCATTCCTCAGACGAATGTTTGTTTTTACAGGCCTGAAATAAAATGGAAGTGCTTTTTGTTGTTAAAGATTTTCATGTAGGAAGCCATTTGCTTTGACAACTTAAATGCTTTCTGCAGGTACAGGGGAAGCTGTGGAGGGAGGCGGTTTGTTTTCTCTCTGGAGTTCTGTGAAGAGTGAATTGAATTTTGAAAATGCAGATTGTTGACAATCTGACATTTTTGCAGAGATGTAAGAGCTTTTAGGTGCTGCTGTTTTTTCAAAGTTGTGCAAATCAAGAGTGATCTTACTTGATTCTTGGGTTTGCATTTTTGTCTTTCCTTTCTCCTTTTCTTCTCTTCCACTTTCCCTTCCTCCCTCTCTCCCCCCCATCCTTTCCTCCTGACCTTCCTTCCTTTCTTGTGGATGAAAAGCAAGCAGATCTCTCACATTTTTTATATAAAACAAAACTCTTTCCTATACCCATTTTAGTGTTCTGGGACCCTGCTCTATGTATTATATCTTTTCAGATTTCAAGAGAACATCTGTATCTTTAGTAAACTGTGTATATTTGGAAATAAAAATAAACCCTAAGTAGAAGCAGTCTGCTGTAACATGATTTAAGTGTTACTGTTATATTTTATGTTCTGTAAAGCCAAACCCTGATTTGGGATGGACCTGTGGGAAAGCTAGCAAGGGGACAGACTATTTAGAATGTAGTTCATTTTCTAATGGGAGCACTAACAAGATAAGTAAGCAATGGGTGGGGAAATACTTGGGAATGTTTGGACAGAGTTCTTGCATGGGTGGAGAATGACCCGCAAGAGTTGCAGAAACAACAGAGCCACAGACCAGAAAAGCCAGCCCCCTTCTAATCAATATAATAAACCAAGAAATGGAAGGACAAAGTTAGGAAAAGAAAGAATAAAAATTCCAAGGGAATCTCCCAAAATTAAAAAAAAAAACAAAAACTAGAACCATTAAATGATTTTATCAAGATTGTTCACAGTATTTCATTAAAAGCATGAAATATATAGGAATCTTTTTTCAAAAGATGCATAAGATTTATACATTAGAAACTATTTAACAATATAATATAAATATGAAACAATATAATAAAAGTTAAAGAAGACCTAACTAAATGGGGCAGTAAGCCATATTCATGTATTGAGATGAATATTATTGAGATGTTGTTACTCACCCATCAAATCTGGCCCCAGAAAGGGTCCTCCTGCCTGCTTCACCCACACCAATAGAACAAGGTTGAGCAGCTGGGTTCAGAACCAAAGGGGAGCTTCTTTTTCTTTTTTAATTTATGTAGAGTTGATTTACAATGCTGTTTTAGTTTCTGGTGCAGAGCAGAGTGATTCAGTGTTACATGTTTACTGTTTTTAATATTCTTTTCCATTATGGTCTATTACAGGATATTGAGTATAGTCCCCTGTGTGGAAGCTTTATTCTCTGATCAGAGGACGGAGAGGGGTGGGCAGGGCTGGTTTATGGGGCTCTCTCGGTAGGAGAGGGAGGAGTTTGGGGTGAGCATTGTTGCTTTGCTCACAGCTCCAATGCCAAGTGAAGATTTCTTCACATAGCCTATCATGACCGCCATCTTGAACAAGGCGTACACCAAGAGATATAAACTAGAGTATTTATAACAACATTATTTGTAAGTATAGATGAATGATTGCAGTGGCTTGAATGTCCAGTAAGAGGAAGGTGGCTAAATGGTGATATGTTTGTACAATGCAATTCTGTGCAGCCAAACCAAGGAATGAAGGTTTGTTAAACCCATCACCTCCGAGGATGCTCAGAAATGCAGTGTTAATTCTTGAAAGTAAAGCACAGAAGAATTCATACATCAGGACTTTCATTTCTATGAATGACAAAAACAGATGAATCCAAGCGACATGTTGATTGGGGTCCTCCCATACCTAAGGGCTAAGCATGCAAAGTAAGCAGGGTGATGGGTAACACCAAATCCATGACAGCGGCCAACTCTGGGAAGTAATTACCAGTAATTACCCAACAGGGGTAATTTGGGAGAAAAACACACAGAAATACCATGAATGACATTTTAAAAACTTGAGTGCATGGGACTCTGTTTCATTATTTGCTCTCTCAGTGGTACACATCCATTATATATACTCTTTGTATGTATCATGTGCTTTACAATAAACTCTAAAAAATATATTAATCTCTCATCAAGGTGCTTTATTCTGATAACTTGAGATGAAGTGCTTCTAACTGTCCAGTGGGACCTTGGGTTCATATCAGCCCTGGTGCTGTAATGGATGGAGAGAAACGAGAAATGTGACTTTCATGAACTGTTAAATTCAAGCACTTGTTTAGTGGCTAAGTCACGTGTAACTCTTTTTTGTGACCCCCGTAGACTGTAGCCCACTAGACTCCTTTGTCCATGGAGTTCCCAGCTAATGGTAATGAAGTGAGTTGCCACTTCCTTCTCTAAAACAAAGCACCTGTAACGTATAAACCCTCCCATATGTGTGTGTGCTAAGTCCCTTTAGTCAGGTCCAACTCTGCGACCCCATGGGCTGTCTTCTGCCAGGCCACTCTGTCCATGGAATTTTCTAGGTGAGAATACTGGAGTATGTTGCCAGTTTCTCCTCCAGGGCATCTTCCCTACCCAGGGTTAGAACTTACATCTCCAGTTTTTTTGTGGTTTCCTTATCGCTGAGCCATCAGGGGGGTCCCATTCCCTCCCAAACGATGCCCTAAAACAAACCTGAGAAATGTTAAGTGAACCTTTTCAAATCCTCAATGATTTAACCCTTATATTTGAATGTGTTAATTGATGAAACAGTTTGAATGTCATTTAAAAAAAAGTAAGAACTGGAAGCAGAGAGTAAGAAGCCTTTGCGGCAGTAGGTTATGCTAATGCATTCTCCTTTCGCCTGTGCCCCTGGGGGATAGTAACTGTGGACAATTTGCTGCTGAATCCTAAGTGTCCAGCATGATCGTGACTATGTCAGTTACCTTTCCTGTTTTAGGCAAACCTGGTGAAGCTTCTTTTGATGCATCAGGCAAATCCACACCTTCTGAACTGCCATGAGGAGAAGGCTTCAGGTAAGCCATGAACATCATACCGGGTCCCTTTCCATCATCCTGGCGTGGCTGACCCATCACTGCCCCAGCTACGGCATGAGTCATGGGAGGTTCTGTGAAACATCCCCCCCCGCCCCCCGCTCCCCACCTCATGCCAGTCAAGCATGTGTCACCAACTCCTGCGCACTGCTCTGTTACAGGAGTCTATTAGAGGACAGTTAGCGTTTACAGGGACTGTTGCATTGTGCTCATTGCAATGTGCTTTTGAGGCCTTACATTTTCTGGGCAGTGATTCTTGCATTGTTCAGCTAATGATAATGAAGTGAGTTGCCACTTCCTTCTCTAAAACAAAGCACCTGTAACGTATAAACCCTCCCATATGTGTGTGTGCTAAGTCCCTTTAGTCAGGTCCAACTCTGCGACCCCATGGGCTGTCTTCTGCCAGGCCACTCTGTCCATGGGATTTTCTAGGTGAGAATACTGGAGTATGTTGCCAGTTTCTCCTCCAGGGCACCTTCCCTACCCAGCGTTAGAACTTACATCTCCAGTTCTTTTGTGGATTCCTTATCGCTGAGCCATCAGGGCAGTCCCATTCCCTCCCAAACGATGCCCTAAAACAAACCTGAGAAATGTTAAGTGAACCTTTTCAAATCCTCAATGATTTAACCCTTATATTTGAATGTGTTAATTGATGAAACAGTTTGAATGTCATTTAAAAAAAAGTAAGAACTGGAAGCAGAGAGTAAGAAGCCTTTGCGGCAGTAGGTTATGCTAATGCATTCTCCTTTCGCCTGTGCCCCTGGGGGATAGTAACTGTGGACAATTTGCTGCTGAATCCTAAGTGTCCAGCATGATCGTGACTATGTCAGTTACCTTTCCTGTTTTAGGCAAACCTGGTGAAGCTTCTTTTGATGCATCAGGCAAATCCACACCTTCTGAACTGCCATGAGGAGAAGGCTTCAGGTAAGCCATGAACATCATACCGGGTCCCTTTCCATCATCCTGGCGTGGCTGACCCATCACTGCCCCAGCTACGGCATGAGTCATGGGAGGTTCTGTGAAACATCCCCCCCCGCCCCCCGCTCCCCACCTCATGCCAGTCAAGCATGTGTCACCAACTCCTGCGCACTGCTCTGTTACAGGAGTCTATTAGAGGACAGTTAGCGTTTACAGGGACTGTTGCATTGTGCTCATTGCAATGTGCTTTTGAGGCCTTACATTTTCTGGGCAGTGATTCTTGCATTGTTGCTTACTTTAAAATATATTTTCTAAAATACATGCTTGTTCCTTAGGGTACTTTAAAGTGGTAATAGTATTTTCTTCTTTCTGTGCAAATATTTATACTTCGGGCAATAGAGACTAGCATTATCAACCTAATTTAAAATTTTGACAATCTTGATGTTGCTTATTTTCTGATAAATACCTTTTTGAAGTTTTCTAGAGTTCTTTTTGCCACTTTTTTAAAAACTGAGTGCTACATTAGTTTTCTAATTTTTAAAACTTGACAACAATGTTACTACCTATAAAGTGTTTTGGTATATTAAAAAATTAAAATTCTAAGTAACAAAGAGAAAAGTCTAGCCAAAGTAACAAAATGATATAAAATTTTTGAAGGTAATGATTGACCTGAGTAACATAAATATACTTATTCTTCTCATTTTTATTCTTCTGGTGACCAAAAAGCTTGTCATGCCTGAAGATTCTTATTTCATGTCAATCACCTTCGGTATCTCAAGGCGAAGTATGATTACCTGATAAACCTCCAATTTAAGACAGAATGCTGTATTTGTTATTTTATTGGAATTAAGTATCATTGTCTAATGTATATTCATCTTATTTGCTAAAAATAGACTGAAGACTTAACTAACAGCTGTAAGATAGCTTAGTAGTTTCAAACTTCAGAATCATGTTAATAATAGGGTAGTAATCTTACCATTATCTACCAAAAATATGCTTAATGGTAAATATTAGAAGAGTAAATAGAAATTTTTAGCTTTTCCATTCCTTTTCCAAACTTTTTTATTGGAAATACAAGTCATGTCTTCTGTTAACTCTAGTTCTAATAGAAGGTGATGTTTATTCAGGATCGTAATTCTGGCATTTTTCCTGGAGAATGGTGTATATGATTGACCCCGGACAGCAGGGACCCCTGTCTGTCACACTTTGACCTTTCAGGTCTAGTGTCAACTTGCCAAAAAAGAGACACCCCAAGGTGATGGACAGTGACAGTCCCAGAGCCCGGGAGTGACTAACCTGCTGGTCTAGACTCACCCCCGGCTGCCGTGGGCCTCGTGTCTGACGAGTCTCAGACAGTTTTGCCTGCATTGCTCATGCAGCATCTAGCATCCACATAATCTGTTTTCCATGCCGTGTTGATCACAGGAGATATCGTGATGGGAGCATAGTAGATTCTCAGTAAACACTTGCTGATTGAATGAAAATACTTCTCACACACACAAGGGACAGAGGGCTTCAAGGCAGTGAGAAGCTTCAAGCAGTCCCAGGACATACGGCATCTCACGCAACTGTAAGAGGGAGGAGTTAGATAATAGTGCAAAGGGCAGTGAGTGAGACACCCATTTTAGCTGAGCACAGAAAAGTCATTTCATCACTGCTAGGTTCTATTCTTGCTATTTTGTGTTCTTTGAATTTGGAATGAACACATGAAAGATTACCTAGGGGATAAAATCAGTTTGACATAGCACTGTTTCTTGCTACAGAAATAATCTCCCAAGATGAGGGCACTGAGCTGTCTCCTACTCATTACACAGGAATGATTTAATCTAAAGCAAATGCTGATCAAATCCTGGCTTAAATATCTTCTTGCAGTAGCTGAGTTACTTCACCCAGCCTATAAAGCCATGTAACTCAAGTTCACAGACACTGGAGGTCACACAATTTAGTCGTGAGGGTCCGAAAGGAGCAGCTGCGGGCCATCCAGTTCCTAATTGTTATGAATGTGACTTTTTCTCAGGATGTACTGATTTCCAGTTTCAGTTGCTAACAAGCGTAAATTTGATTAACGCATATCTATAGTGCTGCCGAGAATGTTCGGATGTCATTGTTAATGTGTGATTTGTAGGGAAATATGATTGTTTTTGTTTCTTATTGGAAGTGAAAACTAGGCCGTGAAGAGAGGCCAAACTCGCTGTTTTTAAAAGGCACAACAGTGTATTTATTTGTGCATCTGCCCACTTAGCAGAATGCCTGTAGAATGCCTGCTGCACGTTTTAGAAGCGCCCAGTTGTTGGGAGGGTACAGCTCTTTCCCTCTTTTGACTTCATATTCACCAGGATGAAGGGAGATTCTCATGGAGGAAAACCGACTTTAAGTTGTGTCAAGCCCAGCTTCTCAGTGATTTTGAATTTTACCCGTGACCACTCCGTGAATATTATGTTTATATTTGTTCTTTTCACTTGTAATTAACTATGCCACTCACCGGTGTACCATGGAGTAGTCTTTTAAAATGGTGCTTCTGCCATTGCATTCCCACCGTGCACTTTTCATGTTTTTCGTTTTGCTTCCTGTGTTGGTAAGTCTTAGCACAGTACGCGTAGCAGGGTCACTGAAAGGGAGTGGTTTCCTGTGATGTCAGCACTCACTGGCTCGGATCACCTCCTGGTTTCTTGTAGACGTCGCCGCGTCGGAGTTGATTGAGGAAATGCTGCTGAAGGCCGAGTCTGCCTGGGAAGGAAGAACGCAGGCGCCTCTCTGTGTGCAGACCTTGGCCCAAGAGGACCCTTACGAAGAGATCGTCCCTGACCTTCCGGTCCTTCCCAGCAAGCTGTGAGTGCCTCCTTGCGGATCATAGAGCCGTCGACCTCACTCGCGAGGACTCGGTCTTCCTCCGTGGTCGTCCTCGCGAGTCACCCGTCACTGTTCAGGGAACGTTGAGCCCGTCTCTCAGCCAGAAGTTAGAGCCTGCCTGGCAGTGTTTGCTGAAAGATCCTTGTGGACTGTAAATAAGTTAGGCATAAAACCCTCTGGTTTTTAAACATTACCATTTCAGCCCTTCATCATGAGACCAACGATGGTATTTTTAAGTACACTCCATGTTTCTAACTAAACCAATAACTATCTAATGAAACCAAGAGATTTCCAGTTAACTATCATCATGGCTAAATTTCCTCAAGTAGGGAATATTAATACAAATGAACTGAAGTGAAAGTTGCTCTGCCGTGTCCAATTCTTTGCAGCCCCAAGGAATTCTCCAGGCCAGAGTCATGGAGTGGGTAGCCTTTCCTTTCTCCAGGGGATCTTTCCAACCCAGGGATGGAACCCAGGTCTCCCACATTGCAGGCGGATTCTTTAGCAGCTGAGCCACAGGGAAAGCCCAAGAACACTGGGGTGGGTGGCCCAGCCCTTCTTCAGCGGGTCTTCCCGACCCAGGAATCAAACCAGGGTCTCCTGCATTGCAGGCGGATTCTTTACCAACTGAGCTATGAGGGAATTAATACAAATAGTCACAGTTTTCTGCCTTAAGTATGAAACTAATGATTTCTTACTATCTAAAGTATGGCCTAAAGGCTGACACATACCGTACACAAGGTGAAACTTACGAACATTTTGCTGAGTGAAGAAAGTCAGAGACAGAAGACCACATACTGAATTTATAATGAGATGCCTGGAATTAGCAAATGCATCGAGACAGAAGGTACATTATTAGTTGGATGAGCGGGGTGAGGGGAAGATGGGAAGTACCTCTGAATGGATATGGGGTTTCTTTAGGGAGATGATGGAAATTTTCTGAAAGTAGATGAGATGGTTACATGCATTTGTGAATGTGCTAAAAAGCACTGACTTGTACACCATGAAAGTGTGAATTTTGTGCTATGTAGATTATACCTCAATAAGATAAATGCGTGAGGAAAAAGTATTTCAGGCTGAAAGTGAAATCTGCTGCATACAAGCAGTGGGACCTTAAGGAAGATGCTTCCCATCTCCGAATCTATATTTTGTCAGACAACGGAGATTAAGTCTAATGTTAAGACTTTCTTCGGGGGTAAAATCGAAAATTATATTGAAGAGCAACTCAAGTGACACGTAGACTTGTTTAGTTTAACAACTAAGTGATTTTGTAAAATTTCTTTTATCATTCATGATTTTATCTTTGTAGTGTTAGAAATAAATATGAACTGGAATAAAAAGACAGGATAAAAATAACTAGGTACAGTTATGTTTTAAGGCAGAAAGTCTTGATTTCTGTAACTGACTTTCAGACCTTGTTTTAGTGTAGGAAGGAAAAATGTGGGCACCTGAAGTTTCCTCTATAAAGAAGCCCCTTGGGCAAACTTTGGGAGATAGTGAGAGACAGGGAAGCCTGGCGTGCTGTAGTCCGTGGGGTCCCAAAGAGTCAGACACGACTGAGTGATGAGCAAAATCAACAACCACAGCTATAAAGAAGTCACAGACATTATGAATGAGAACTCTTTCTTTAAAGCTGTTAAATGCTTGTATTTTTCAGAGGGGAAGAAAAAAAGACTGGTTGTTGATTTTTGTCACAGTTTCACAGTGGTGATTGGTTTGGGCAACAATTTACTGAGCTATGTTGGGACATTTTCAAGTAGAGACCATGTATGCAGTGAATCAAACAGTTGACATGATTGACAGGAAATAGAAATGTATTTCTTTAAAAATCTCTTAGGCATCATTCACAAAGCAGCATTTCTTTCCTAACCAGTGGTGTGGGAGTCAGTGGTTATAACACCCAGCGTTTGGGGAGGGTTTGGGTCTCTGTCTCTCCTCTCTCCTCACCATTGCTGAGATCTTCTGCAAGCTCCCCTCCTTTTTTCCCCCTTTCCTTATTTTTCCCAGGACAGATCGGGGCATATTCATTGATAGGAGAAGCATAGAGCTATAAAGAACTTAAAATGTCTTCTCTCCTCCATATAATCTACAGTTTTTCTTCTATATTTTTTTCTTCTCCCACTTTTTATCTCTAATCCTCATTCCGAAGATTTTACAAGTAAAACCTCATCTGAATTACAGTTGCCCGCCTTTCATCATCATTTAAAACTCCAACTTCCTATTTCCTTTTCTTAAAAAATTAATTTATTTTAATTGGAGGCTAGTTGCTTTACAATATTGTGGTGATTTTTGCCATGCATCGACATGAATCAGCCACAGGAGTACATGTGTCCCCCGCTCCAAAGCCCCCCTCCCACCTCCTTCCCCATCCATCCTTCTGGGTTGTCCCAGTGCACCGCTTTGAGTGCCCTGTTTCATGCATCAAACTTGGACTGGTCACCTATTTCACATATGGTTGTATACATGCTTCAATGCTATTCTCTCGAATCATCCTGCCCTCACCTTCTCCCAGAGTCCAGAAGTCTGTTCCTTATGTCTGTGTTTCTTTTGCTGTCTTGCACATAGGGTTGTCATTACCGTCTTTCTAAATTCCATATAAATGTCTTAATATACTGTATTGATGTTTTTCTTTCTGACTTACTTCACTCTGCATAATAGGCTCCCGTTTCATCCACCTCATTAGAACTGACTCAAATGTGTTCTCTTTAATGGCTGAGCAATATTCCATCGTGTATATGTACCACGGCTTTCTTATCTGTTTGTCTGCCAATGGATATCCATGTCCTGGCTATTATAAACAGTGCTGTGATGAACACTGGGGTGCACGTGTCTCTTTCAGACCTGGTTTCCTCGGTGTGTATGCCCAGGAGTGGTATTGCTGGGTCATATGGCAGTTCTATTTCCAGTTTTTAAAGGAATCTCCACACTGTTTTCCATAGCGGCTGTACTAGTTTGCATTCCCCCCAACAGTGTAAGAGGGTTCCCTTTTCTCCACACCCTCTCCAGCATTTATTGCTTGTAAACTTTTGGATAGCAGCCATTCTGACTGGAGTGTAATGGTACCTCATTGTGATTTTGATTTGCATCTCTCTGATAATGAGTGATGTTGAGCATCTTTTCATGTGTTCTTTAGCCATCTGTATATCTTTTTTGGAGAAATATCTGTTTTTCTTTGGCCCATTTTTTGATTGGGTCATTTATTTTTGTGGTATTGAGCTGCATGAGCTGCTTGTATATTTTTGAGATTGTCAGTTGTTTCATTTACTACTATTTTCTCTCATTCTGAAGGTTGTCTTTTCACCTTACTTATAGTTTCCTTCACTGTGCAAAAGCTTTTAAGTTTAATTAGGTCCCATTTCTTTATTTTTGCTTTTATTTCCCTTACTCTGGGAAATGGATCACAGAGGATCTTTCTGTGATTTCTGAGCAAGCAAGTGCATGTTCTGCCTATGTTTTCCTCAGAATTTTATAGTTTTTGGTCTTACATTTATATCTTTAATCCATTTTGAGTTTATTTTTGTGTGTGGTGTTAGAAAGGGTTCTAGTTTCATTCTTCTACAGGTGGTTGGCCAGTTTTCCCAGCATCACTTTTTAAAGAGATTGTCTTGTATATTCTTGCCTCCTTTATCAAAAGTAAGGTGTCCATAGGTGCGTGGATTCATCTCTGTGCTTTCTGTTTTATTCCATTGATCTATATTTCTGTCTTTGTGCCAGTACCATACTGTCTTGATGGTTGTAGCTTTGCAGTATAGTCTGGAGTCAGGCAGGTTGAGTCCTCCAGTTCCATTCTTCTTTCTCAAGATTGCTTTGGCTACTTGAGGTTTTTTGTGTTTCCATACAAATTGTGAATTTATTTGTTCTAATTCTGTGAAAAATGCCTTTGGTAGCTTGATAGGGATTGCATTGTTTTGGATAGTATACTCATTTTCACAATATTGATGCTTCTGATCCATGAACATGGTATATTTATCGATCTAGTTGTCTCATCTTTGATTTCTTTCATCAGTGTTTTATAGTGTTCTATATATATAGGTCTTTTGTTTGTTTAGGTAAATTTATTCCTATGTATTTTATTCTTTTTGTTGCAATGGTGAATGGAATTGTTTCCTTAATTTCTCTTTCTGTTTTCTCATTGTTAGTGTACAGGAATGCAAGGGATTTCTATGTATTAATTTTGTATCCTGCAACTTTATTCATTGATTAGCTCTAGTAATTTTCTGGTGGTGTCTGTAGGGTTTTCTATGTAGAGGATCATGTCATGCAAGCAATGAGAGTTTTACTTCTTTTCCAATCTGAACTCCTTTCATTTCTTTTTCTTCTCTGATTGCTGTGGCTAAAATTTCCAAAACTATGTTGAATAGTAGTGGTGAAAGTGGGCATCCTTGTCCTGACTTTAGAGGAAGTGTTTTCAATTTTTCGCCACTGAGGATAATGTTTGCTGTGGGTTTATTGTAGATGGCTCTTTATTATGTTGAGGTATGTTCCGTCTATGCCTGCTTTCTGAAGAGTTTTTATCATAAATGGGTGTTTAATTTTGCAAAGGCTTACTCTGCATATATTGAGATAATCATATCTCAAATTGAAATTTATCTTTCAGTTTGTTAATGTGGTATATCACATTGATTGATTTGCAAATATTGAAGAATCCTTGCATCCCTGGGATAAAGCCCACTTGGTCATGATGTATGATCTTTTTAGTATGTTGTTGGATTCTGTTTGCTAGAATTTTGTTGAAGCTGCCATCACCCTAATACCAAAACCAGACAAAGATGGCACAAAAAAAGAAAACTACCTTTTGCTTTTAGGGAAAAGGTAAAATGAACAAGTCAACTTTGCAATACAAAAGGAAACAGAATCTTTGCATCTATGTTCATCAGTGATATTGGCCTGTAGTTTTCTTTGTCTGGCTTTGGTGTTACGGTGATGGCAGCCTCGACAAAATTCTAGCTCACAGTCCTTGCCATCTTCTGTGGAATCGC